CCAAAGTGCTGGGATCACAGGTGTAAGCCACTGCGCCAGGCCTGGATTATACAGTTTAAATAGGTGATCCAACTACCTCAACCTCCCAGAGTGCTAGGATTATAGGCGTGAGCCACCGAGCACAACCTAAGGGTATCTCTTTTTAAGAATGAGGTATTGGTGGTTGGGAGAAGAGAGCTGGTAGCAAACTCTTACATGCTAGCCCACCATGATCTAACTTGGAAGTATGCTTTGCACAAAGCATATAGGCAAAATTTTTGTGGCTTTGATGACTATGATGTGTTAGCTTGGATGACCAGAGTAGTGAGGCACCATGGACAGAAACTGCTTTCGGAGTGAGTCCTAAGTGTCAGCTGGTGCCTTACAGTGCCTCAAGATCAAGGCATATCAGACGGAAATCCACTCCTTCCCCAAAACAATAGAATGCAGAGTTCTAATGTCCCTCCAAGATCTCTGTGAATTCCCAGGGGACTAATGTTATGTTCATTTTGGCTTCTGAGCTCCAGCTTGCTATCTGTGCCCTGCTACAGATGTGACATCAGTCCATCGTTCAGTTTCTCCAAGAAATTCCATTCACATGATATATTCAAAGTATACATTTTACTAAAGATATGTGGGGACTGATGAATTGGGTTGTACATTATAGAAACACAAACAACCCTGAAGGATGATCAGCATTGTTACTATGAATTGTACTTCAGCCAGGTAGTTTTACTGGCTCATAAGCTCACCAACCACATCCTTTCCCTGTCTTTTAAAAATTATCGTTATTTCATGTTTTTAACCCACCCTAAACCCATGAAGGGACTTTCTTCATCTAAATATCTCCTCCCTCTTAAATTCTTCTTCTTCTGCCTCTTCACTCTTCCCTGTTAGAAATGAAATAAATTACAAAGCAGTTTAGGTGCCCTCAAGGAAAAACAAAAGCACCCATGCCCTTAGGGTGCCACTCTCCAGTCTAAGGAGCCCGTTAGGATATATCCGGAAAAGATAGTACTTTCCCTCAGAGGAGTTCTGGTGCCAGCTCTTCAGATAAAATGTTCTTTATTTCTCCTCCTTTCTGACAAAACCATTATTCATTGAATTTGGGACAAAAAGGGGATATCCAGGTGACAAGATATGGCAGGTGGTTGAAGATTTGGACTAAAACGCCCAAGAAAGATCAGAGACAAAGGTTTGAGAGTTGAAAAGGAGAAGCCAGTAGATGCTAATTGCCCACTGGGCCCAGCCACCTGCTATTCCCATGTAATCTTGTTTGATCTCAACAATAATCCTTTGGAAGAATTATTATTGTCTGCATTTTACAAATAAAGAGACCAAAGGTCAAAAAGTTCAAATAACTTGTCTTGGGTCACACAGCTGGTAGCATCAAAATAAAGTCCAGCTCCGTCTTGAGTCAAATCCTTTGCTTTTAGTCTGTAAGGAGGGGAGTGAGTCTCAGAGCAGCCAATGTTTACAGCTGGGCAAAGCGGCAAAGCAAGTGAGAGGTAGAAGAGACTGGAGCTGTCACGGGTTTTAGAAGCTGACGGAGCCTCAGAGATGAGTGTTAAGTTCTGCTGAGCATTCATAAGGTGAATAAAGTTTGAGAAGAGACTTGGTTAAGTTGGTGTTGCAGAGAACAATTTCAGTGGAAACCATTATAAAGATTTGAGCAATTATTGGATGTTTGGTGGGAGCAGAAGGTGAGTGGTTGGACAGGTGGGGTGGCTAAGTGGGGCATATTAAGCCATGGCAGGTGGCACTTTTTTTTTTTTGAGACAGAGTCTCATTGTGTCGCCTTCAGTGAGTGCTGTGCTGTCATAGCTCACAGCAACCTCAAACCCTTGGGCTTAAGCAATTCTTTTGCCTCAGCCTCCCAAGTAGCTGTGAGGCAAAAGAAGACTACAGGCGCCCATCACAATGTCTGGCTATTTTTTCGCTGTAGTTGTCAGTGTTGTTCAGCATGCCTGGGCTGGCTCAAACCTGCCAGCTTCGGTGTACGTGGCTGGCGCCCTACTTAGCCCTACTCAGCTGAGCTACAGGGGCCGAGCTGAGGTGAAACTTGTTTTGCATTTGTTACTTAAGTTGGGGAGACCAGTATATTCTTATAGAGGGAGGTAAGTAAGAAGCCAGTAGAGGGAGAGGAACAGAAAGATGGGTACTGTTGGAATCTCAGAGGAGGTGAAGGCAGTTGGAAATGAGAACTCAGGTTACGTTAACCCCTGGAATGGGGAAAGGAGGAAAGCCTCCTTGAGACCAGGAGTACCTGTGGATAGAACTATGGAGAAACTGTAAGATGTTGAAACTTTTATAATGGAAAAGAGTAAAGGAGAAAGGCACAGGGATTGTGGAACTTGAGATTGTGGGAAGGGTTTGGATCTGCTGATGTGTGCCTTGCTCTAAATAATGTGAAGCTACAGTTGTCATACTGGTTCAGAATAGAGTCCAGATTTAGGTTATATACAACATGATAAAAATGGCTTGTCAAATAGTGAGAAAATGGAATATTTAATAAATATTTGTAGTAAAATTTCCTCTTGGAAAAAATATCCCACACAGGCTTGGCTCCCATGCTCAGTGGTTAGGGCGCTGGCCACATACACTGGGGCTGGCGAGTTTGAACCCAGCCTAGGCCTGCTAAATAACAATGACAACTGCAACAAAAAAATAGCCAGGCATTGTGGCAGGCATCTGTAGTCCCAACTACTTGGGAGGCTGAAACAAGACAATTGCTTAAGCCCAAGAGTTTGAGGTTGCTGTGAGCTGTTATACCATAGCACTCTACTGAGGGTGACATAGTGAAACACTGTCTCAAAAAATATATATATATCCCACACAACAGTCTATATCCACAAATTCCAGGTGGAAAAATAATCAAATGGCAAAAAAAAAAAAAAAAGGAATGTTTATCAGTAGGGGAACAGTTAATTAAATCTGGGTATTTAGTGAGAATGCAGTGTATTAGTAAAGAGCACACAGGAGGAGGCTGAGTCTGGAGGATCACTTGAGCCCAGGAATTGAAGGCTGTAGTGGGCCATGATGACCACTCCAGCCTGGATGACAGAGAGAGACAGGTAGGTGGATTGCTTCAGCTCAGGAGTTCGAGACCAGCCTGAGCAAGAGCAAGACCCTATCTCCGCTAAAAACAGAAAAACTAGCCATTGTGGTGGGTGCCTATAGTCCCAGACTAGAGAATCCCTTGTGCCCAAGAGTTTGAGGTTGCTGTGAGCTATGATGCCATGGAGCTCTACCAAGGGTGACAAAGTGAGACTTAAAAAAAAAAGAATAAGAAAAGCATCACAGGATGGCACCTGTGGCTCAGTGGGTAGGGTGCTGGCCTCATATACTGAAGGTGGCAGGTTCAAACCCGGCCCCAGCCAAACTGTGACAAAAAAATAGCTGGGCATTGTGGTGGGCGCCTGTAGTCCCAGCTACTCAGGAGGCTGAGGCAAGAGAATCACCTAAGCCCAAGAGTTTGAGATTGCTGTGAGCTGTGATGACACAGCACTCTACCAAAGGCAATAAAGTGAGACTCTGTCTCTAAAAAAAGAAAAGAAAAGCATCACTAAAGCATTTATAGAATTAAGATAAACAGCCAGGCGCAGTGTCTCATGCTGGTAATCCCAACACTGTGGGAGGCTAAGGAGGGAGAATTGCTGGAGCTCAGGAGTCCATGACTGAAGAACTCCTAAAGAAAAGAAAAAACCCAGACAGGCACCATAGGGAATGCCTGTAATCCCAGTGGTTTCCAGAGGCTGAGGCAGTGGGATGCTCATAGCCTGAGTCTGAGGTTGCAGTAAGCTAC